AATATTTAATATTATTCTTAAATGACTTAATAAATTATTGATAGATGGCGCCATATGTTTTTTTTTGAATTCAAATAAACATAGCAACATTTGTTTGTATTCAAAAATTTTCTGAAGTGTCGCTTTAAAAATCCTGTTTTTAAGATGAATTACGAAAATTTTGAAAAGTTTAACATGTTAGAATGTTACATATTAAAAAAATTATTTGTTTTTAAATACCAGAAGTTATCTCCTTATTTAATTGTTAACTTTTTAGATTTTACCTACCGCCGCGTAACTTACAGGAAACTGTAAATTTAATTTCGTCGACGACACTAGGTGGAAATTTTATAAAAAAAGTTTATTTTTAGCTTTATTCTAAAACAATAAGAAATAGACCTTCCGAACCCTACATTTTTGTAATTAGAAAAAAATAAAGAATTTAATAAGCGAATAATCAGTGGTTAAAAAAAATCAAAATTGTCATGATATCTCAAAATCTAAAACCGTCATCAAATTCTCTGTAAAAAAGTGTCCATATAATGTCTTAGTTATAATACTCCACCTAGAATAATAACCAAGATAATTGCACTTGCTGGTTTTACGATATTTTCAATTTTGGCCTCTAGGGGAAAAACAAAAGACGATAGCGCTATGAGGTTTTCGGCATTAGCAGTTTCTCGAAAAACGAGATCATGACATGCAAGCTACTTTTTTTCTAACTCTTATAGCTTCCTAGTTAGCCTATTCGGACATCGAATTTGAACCACCCTGTACAATACATTCATTTTAAATGTAATTTTAGCAGAAAAAAGACACCGGTATATACAGGTTGTCACACAAGAATGCCGCAAGATGTAACTCTGTCATTTACATTCCGATTTTCATGAGCGAAATATCAAATGAAAAGGTTTGATGAATACATGATTCTTGCTACAAATAAACTTTTTCCAACGCAATCTACAATTTCAAGCGATTATTAACTTTTGATTTTCAAATTGCTTGATATATTTTTCTTCACGTTATTGGATAGAGATTCCTTTTCTGAATCCATTAATGTACAATACATCAACATTCATTGTAATTGTAGCATAGAAAAACATTAAAACAGTTTCCTTACATTCTCTTAAAGTTAGTTGTGTTATACTGTAGTGTGCCATGGGAAAAAATAAAAAAACAACTTATAAGTATCATTTACAACTGCTTCGGTCATTAAAATTACATTTAATGACTGTTATCAGTTTTCCGCGTTATTTTGTTCCATGGTACACACAGTATTACAGAAGTGACTAAGACAATGTTCGGAAAATGTTTTAATTGGTTTTCTTTGCTAAAATTAGAATTAATGTTAATGTATTGCACATCATTGGGTTCAGAAAAAAATCTCTATCCAATAACGTGAAGAACAACATACCGAGCAATTTGAAAATCAAACATCATCACTTGAAATTGAAGATGGCATTGGAAAAAATCTATTTGTAGCATAAATCATAGCATTCATCAAACCATTTCATTTGATACCTCGTTCATGAAAATCAGAAGGTATGGATGACAGAGTTACAGCTTGCGGCGTTCTTGTGTGACAACCTGTATATACAGGTGTCTTTTCTCTGCTAAAATTACATTTAAAATGGATGTATTGTACATCAATGGATTGAGAAAAACAAACTCTATCCAATGACGCGAAGAAAAACATAGGCAGCAATTTGAAAAATAAAAGTCAATAATCGCTTGAAATCGAAGATGGCGTATTATTTAAATGTTGTGTTAAATATTGTAAATTTGCAGACAATGTGAAATTTCTTGGTATCCAGTTTGATGCACACTTTTCCTGGGATGAGCAGACACGAGTCCTTTCAAAGAAGCTGTCCTCACTCTCGTTTTTGTTTTTGAAACTTCGGAAGGTACTTGATACCGAAATTGTCAAAACTATTTATTACGGTTTGGTTTATTCCCATCTAAATTATGGCATTGTATGTTGGGGCAATTCTTCGACTTCACAACGGGTGTTTGTGGCCCAGAAGAAAGTCATTAGGTCGATGTTTGATTTGTCTTATAATGAATCATGTAAGGAATCATTTCGAAAGAATCGCTTATTAACCATGCCTTGTGTTTATATTCTGCAATCACTCTTATATGTAAAGAAACACCTTACGGAGTTTGCTAGGAGTGGTGATATAAATACTCAATACCCCACTAGGCAGGCTGGAAATCTGTACATACCCAAATGCCGACTGTCTCTCACCCCAAATAGCCCTCAACATATGATGATTCGCTTATACAATCATTTGCCGATAACATTTAAGAGGCTTGATTTCAACCGTTTCAAGTATAAATTGAAAATCTTCCTTACATCCAAATGCTTTTACTCAGTGGGGGAATATTTACTAAATACTTAATGGGACCACGACGATGGTAGAGAATTGCAGTAATCTGTTTTGTTTCCTTATGTGATTGTTTTTTGTATTTTCGCTGTGCATGTTCGCTGTGAGATGACGAAAGTACGTATTGTACTGACTATCTTTTGTAATCATTAGCGTAAGGACAATTTCTGATGCAGTACAGCCTATGGAAATAAAGATATTATTATTATTATTATTTGTAGCATGAATCATAGTATTTATCAAACCATTTCATTTGATACCTCGCCCATGAAAATCGGAATGTAAATGACAGAGTTACAGCTTGGGGCGTTTTTTGTGTGACACCCTGTATATTTATAGCTAACATTCACAGGAGTTAAACCAACTCGCATGTAACAAAAAAAAAGGAAAAGAAAAAAAATATACTACAATAATACATTCGTGGTATCTATAATTAATAGTAATACCACAAATAAATTAATATGCGCATAGACATCAAGATATAATAATAATATTATTATATTAAAATATATTATATTTTAAAATCTAAAGACCAATCGTTACGAAGGCCAACCCTACTTTGAATGTCTCTTAAAAGTTTAAAACCGCGACTTGGTAAGATCTTCATTTATATCAACACCAGAGTTACGTAACTCCCAACGACCGAGCATTTCCTTCATTCTATATTGATAGCTTGTAAATTTAACAATTACACTACAAATTCCATTTATCATTACACTATGATATTAGTTATAAACCTATATATTTTGTTTCGTCAGCCTAATTATCATGTATGTATATCATTGAAAGGAAATAAAAACACAATTAAACAAAAGCATATGTAGTTTATTTACAAAAATGAAGAAATAACTTTTACATTATACTAAATATCAAAGCGTCTTGTATTAGTGATTAATTGAGAACACATAAAAAGATATAACAAATTTTATATGAAAAATATAAACTTAATTCTAAAAACAGGTATCGTTTTTTAATGTTTAATAAGTAAAATTGTACTAATCTTGTTAATAGAAAATAAAAATTAATTTTTAATCAATTTAGAATTTAAATTGGCTTCTTTAAAGTTCCATAATTAATGAAAATAAAATCATGTACAGTTTAAAATGATGTAAAAATATACCGGGTGTCCCAATAAGGGTACGGAGCGGCAAGGCCTAGATGTTTGGTAAAAAATCCTTAGCAGCAAACTGAGTAACAGAAATAGCTTGAAATTATTTTGAAGTTCGTACTCCGTTAGGGGTCGTAACTGTCATAAAGAGACATAAAATTCCCGCTATGTTAGAAAGTCAAATGATGATAAAACTTAAGCAGGAAATTTTTTTCTTTAATCCCGTTAACACCTCGAACAATAAACAATAAATTTATTTCCAGGATAGGATTGAGGACTATTGAAACGATTAAAAAAAACGTTTAAATCAACACAAAGGCATAACATAGCTTGGATACTGGTCATTTCTTTAATTTCGAGGAGGCCAAGATTTTGGATAGGGAAAACAATTAGCAGAAATGCTCTACAAATGTGGAACATTGTTAATAAAAATTATACTGTCAATTTTAGGACTGATGTCAACTCCCTCAGCAACGTTTATTCATTGACTTTTGAAATTTACAACAAAAATAGTTCTAGTTCTGACCCTCAACCCTCTGATTTAATTTATTTATCCGGTTTAAATTGAAAACTTGTTTTCTCGGTTATTCTTTGACCGATGTTCGACCTTTGTGGTTCTCACATGGATTTAAGATGTGCGTCGTGGCTGATTATTAATATTTTTCGCTATTTCAAGTACAATTGGAAGTTACCACGTCGTTTTGCTTGCGACATTTCTCAAATCTGCCATAATAAAGGAGGGAGAGACCAATGCGTTTTCACATATTTACATTTTAATATCTGCCGGATCATTCAACCGATTTGAATATTTTTGGCCTTATTTGAAATAGCATGTTCTTTTAAAAGATACTTTTTATAAGACCGTTTGGTATAAACCAAATAAGCCAAAAGCCATTATCTGCAGTGATTACATATTCCTGTGTAGTGGTGCGTACGAGAGTCTCGTCTTCGAGACGATACTCGGACAAGACAAGACGAGACTTTCATTGGTGTCGTCTCGAGTCTCGTGCATGAGGTCTTGCGTCTCGTACGAGAGTCTCGCAGGTAAGTATTGCTGCAAATAATATCTGCAATATTTCTGTAAATATTTTCGTATCTACAAGCTGGAATTCCAGTAATGATATGTTGAAAGTACCTCTTGAAGGTAGACATGGACTTGGTGCATTGTATCAAAATGTTGTTGATTTAAAACCATATGCTCTTGAGGACAAAGAATGGATACTACTAGAAGAAATGCATAAGTTACTAGTCAACTTTCAAATACTCTCCAATAAACTCTGAAGAGAGAAGTACGTCAAATTATCTACGGTGGTTGTATGTATCAATATACTAATAGATAATATTGAGAGCAAAATATTTGCATGGGACCGAAAGGCAGATCGAAAGACTGCCCAAGAGCAGCTTATTGTTAGTTTTCAGGCTGCGAGAGACAAAATATTAAAGCATTATCGTAAAACTAATTAGATTTATGCTGCAGTTTTAATTCTCGATTCGCGGCATAACATAGAAGTTTTTGATAGAGACTTCGATTCAGAAATTTGAAGATGTATACAAAGCCTATTTCCATCAACCAGAATGCCAACGTTCGAAAGTAACAGCATTGGAGGAACGAGAAGATTCTAGAGCGGAAAAGTCGGATTTTGTAATTGATTTTGATGTTTTGTATGCAGTAAATCTTACGCCTTCCGAAGGAGAATGGATGCAGGAGCTTCAAAAATATTATTTATTCTATGCCTCGGTGTAATAAAGACACAGATATATTACAATGGTGGAAAATTCATGCTTCTGAATTTCCTATTTTAAGTTTAATGGCACAAGATCTCTTAAGCATACCGGCTACTTCAGTCCCGCCGGAAAGATTATTCTCAGGTTATAAGCATTAACTATAAGAAAAGATCGAAATCGCCTTAATAATACGTCTGCACGATGTTTGTTATGTCTAAACGATTAGGTGAAAAACAAAATCATTTGCGACCAACAGGGCTGAGGGCTGTAATTCTCTCTTCCGAGTCTTACATTATAGCAAGTATCTAATCTGTCTAGGAGACATTAAAATATAAATATTTGAAAACGCATGGACCTTTCCATCCCTTATTATGACAGATAGGAGAAATGTCGCAAAGCAAAATGATGCGGTATTATCCAAGCTGTCAAATGATATCAAAGTTGTCACAACAACTTGTCAACATCGTTGTCTTTTTCCATCCTGTAGAATGTAATGAAATTCAATTTTGCACCTTTTTGGATGGATATATTTTTAAAAATAAAGTTCAACCGGTTTCGATTCTACGAAATAATAATAATATGACTTTATTTGTCCTATTATATGTACATTGACTTAGTATACATGAAATTATTATAACTTAAGCCAGGACAAATTAGGCGGAGTTCAGGTGCAGCCGTAACAGCACTTGCTCTTCCACTCAAACCTAATAAAACTAATTCTAATTCTAAATATACAAGAGAGAAAAAGAAAAGAAAAACGAAAAGAAACAGGAAAAGAAAAGGAAAAAGACCCGATACTGAAATCATAATCAATTACCAAGCGCAAACTGTCCGATACCTGTCGCCCTACAATGCATCCTGAATTTGAGACAGGCGGCCCCTCATTCTGTGACGAAACAACCTTAAAGAAGTGCTACATTTTATAGTTGATGGCAAATCATTAAGAATATGTGTTATTGGTATGAAAAGCATTTCTTAACTAGCTGGTGATGATGGATCGGCAGGGTAAGAGTGCCCTTGAATCGAATATTCAAGGTGTAAATATCGGTACAAAATTTTATTCTATTGAACAAGTATGGAGGTTTCTTCAAAGAAAGTATATTAAAGAACAAAACTGCCGAATGGAGTATGTGCCTGTTTTTCATGTTGAGGCAACTCAAATCCTTTAATTTGTGCGAAACATGCTGACGCCCCCGTAACCCAAATATCAAGCGCAAGCAAGAATTTTGAATTTTCTAAATTTATTTCGTATTACTATACGAAATACACGGATCATACAATGTATCACAATAATTAAAATGCGATAATACCAAGGCATCGCACAAAAGCACCCTTGTTCTACAATTGAGGAACGACCGACCGCCATAAATCAGCTTAAGAGCAGCATACGCGAAAGCTTATTTGTATTTATTAAAGTTTAAATTTTCGTCCAATAAGACTTCCAAGTTTCTCACACAATCCTTCAGCGGCAATCAACTATCTTGAACAACTATCTTGACCCGATCCCGAACACAATTGTCACTTATCACCTTTCTTGGCCCGAATAATATCAACTCTATTTTAGCAGCATTCAGACAAAGGCAGTGACGCCTAGAAACCAGCTCCAAAGCCTCTATATCCAAAGTCAGACAAGAGCCAGATAAAGCCAGATAAAACAACCATCATCGACATCCGATGGCAGAAAAGATATATATAACTGAGTGTCATCCGCGTAGAAATGATGATTACAACTTTTTATGTATCTGTTAAAATGCGATGTGTAAAGTGAGTATAGCAATGGACCCAAAATTGAACCCTGAGGAACACCGGACGTTGTTGAAAGAAATGATGTAACGCGACCATTCACCTTCACGCACTGCATTCTGCCCGACAAGTAACTGTACAAGAACCCCGATGCAAGATCATCAAACCCAATGTAGCGAAGTATGGCATACATCAAGTCATGATAGATAGTATCAAAAGCGTTTGAATAATCTAAGAGACACATCAAAGTCAATTTACCTTGGTCTGTGCTTCATACGACATCGTCCACAATATTCGGTACTACTCATTAATAATCTCTATCACCTTCCCCTCAATGTTCTCATTCTTTTCCTCGGGAATTCCGTAAAATCGAACGCTTGAACGACGTGTATATTGTCGTCGTGTGTAAATCATCATCAGGAACTTACGTCAATAACAAAATGTGTTCAGATCGAGTCGAATTTATATATTTTTGTTAATGATTGAAGAAGTTATCTTAATTGTTTAATAACAACATTGTTCCTGATGATGATTTTGTAGAATCGAAACCGAATGAACTTAACTATTTTACTATTTTTAACTATTTTTAAAAATATATTCATCGAAAAAAGTGTAAAATTGTGTTTCATTAAAGTTATAACTCATCATCAAACTTTCCGATATAGGGTGAATTTTATGTTTCTTTATTAAGGGGCAATCACGCCCCTTAGTGGTCGATTTGCGAACTTCAGAATAATTTCCAACTATTTCTCTTGCTCACTTTGTTGATAAGATTTTTTTCTCGAACCTCAAGGTCTTACCATTGTCGAGATACAACCGCTCCGTATCCTTATCGGGACATCCTGTACATGAAAAAAATTATTAAAAGCGAAATATATAATTAAAAAAGAATAATTTTAATAAGCTTACAGAGATTACTGCTCAGATTCATTGACTAGTTCATAACCATCATTTAAATCGGTATACTCATGCGATGAGTTTTCACCACAGTCATCACTTGGATATTCAATATAATAATGGACTTTATTATTATAACTTTGAAGCAATTTTAAAATGTCTTTGTTCTGGTACTTCATTTCTTGTAATTCAATTTCCAAACGTTTTAGTGTCTCATTAAGCTCAGATTCACCTTTTGCTATTTCGTTATGCCTCTCATTAGAGTAATTTTCTATTGTTTTAATCTTAACCAAAATTTCATCAACAATATTTCGCATTAGGAATTTTTTTTCAGATTCCTTCTGGTATAAAGCTTCATTTTTTCTAGTGCGAAGAGTAAGATCGTTCTTAAATTCATTTTCAATGGTATTAATATGAGTCATAATTTTATCAAAACTCTTTTTCCGATTGTACTCATTTTCGACCGTGAAGTTATTAATAATTGTTTTCTTGTGCAGTTTATTACTTTGACTTTCAAAATCTTGTATTGAAGTTATTGTTTTTAGATTTAAATCAATTCTTGTTAGTTGTGTAGATAGTTCCTTTACCTGTATAATATATTTATGCATGAAATTTTTAGCCGCTTCAGTAACAATTTTATTCATACTCGAGATAATATATTGATTGTTTAAATTAATTGCGTCATTTGAAATTATTTCAATATCATTTTTTATTCTCTTTAGGTTTTTATTTATGTCATTTAGTCGTTGTTTATTAAACCTTTCCAAGCTTTCTTGCATTGTAAAAAGATTACTTAGAAGAACGTTCTGTGAATTCGATTTTTCAGTTAACGTTGTTATTTTATTTATGCTTATAACAATTTTTGTGTGAATATTCTCAATATCTTTGGAAACATTATCTATTTTCGTGCAACATTCTTGACCTGTGCTACTTGATATTGAATTGTGAAATTGAAGGATCTTATCTAATTTATATTCAACCCTAAAATTTCAAGAATGTTATTTCCTTTTTAAGCATAAATTTACTAATTTATTAAATTACTTACTTTTTTAATGCAGTAACGATTAAATTATCATGCATAAAAAGCTTCTCCTCAATTTTCTCTAAAAGTAGTGAATCCTTTTTAAGTTATAATAGTTAATTGTTTATGGAATAAAAGAAATAATGTAATTTTTTTACAAAACTTACGTAAGAAAACAGCGGTCACATTTGCTTTAGCAAATAAGTTCGCACAATCAAAAATATTCAGAGATATTATAATTAAAAACAGAATTTTGTTCATTATTTCTTTATAAGATGTTTACAAGTGGAGTTAAAGTACGATTTAGAATCGGATGAAAAGTCGTGGCGGTGATTACAACAAAAATGAAAACCGCAAAATGATAAGAAACCGTTAAATTATAATAAAATTAATATTAAGCAGTAAGGTTCATAAAAGAAGATTTAAATAGCACCACCAGTTTAAGGAACTACAAGCCATCAGGAATAAGAAAACAGTAAATTCAAATAAAAGAAAGCCAGGCGTCTCGTATGCCGAAAAAGCGAGCGTACTAGAAAAAATACTTCAACAAGAAGAAACACTAAAAACATTATATGCCCGTCAATAATTCATTGAAAGCAACTTAAACCAAAGAGCGATTCATAAAAGAAATCAAAATGTCTAAAAAGCTGCAACTAAAAATAATGCTGTGGAATTCCAATGGTTTTCGACAACATCAAAATACACTACCAGTAAGAAACTCATTTCACACGAGAATCGTATATAAACATCAACCATTTCAATATTTATCACACAATTCACCCTAGTAATGCGGCTCGAGGTGGAAGTGCAATGATCATTAAAAGTAATATTGACCACTATTTGAACAATACAATTAGTACTGAACAACATCAAACTACAATGGTAAAACTTCAAACTGCTAATGGCTTAATATCTGTAGCAGCAACGTACATACCGCCAAGATATAATCTCAAAAGAGAAGATTATCAGGATATTCTACTGCATCTTGAAAGCAAATTTATACTTGGAGGAGACTTTAATGTAAACCATATGTCTTGGGGATCTCGCTTGATAAATACAAAAGGAAGAGAAGTGAAACATGCAATAGAGGCCCTAAATTGTGAGGTGCTCTCCACTGGTAAGAGAACTTACTGGCCAACAGATAGAAGTAAAATTCCGGACCTGCTTGACTTTTTTTATTACGAAAAATATATCGCTTAAAGAGAGGTGGAAGTACTGGTTGTACAGATTGTCCAAATTTCGATGGGTTTGCAGGGTATCTCAGTTAGTATGAAAGATAGAAAGTTGCGACTTTCACGAACCTGAGCAACTTTTTTGTGAAACTTCCAATGGCGCAAACCAAATTTTTATAGCCCTTTTCGTTTTTAATATACAGGGAGTATTTGAAATTTACAATTTTCAGACACCTCCTGTATCTCAGCTATCCGGAAACTTAGTAAAAAAGTAAAAACGGGTTCTAATAGATTTTTTCACGTGGAATCCAATGGTGCACGTAGAATTTTTCTAGACATCACGGTTTTTGAGTTATAAACTCAACTCAAATACTGAATACTCAACTTCTAAAATACTCAGCTTTTATTAAAAATGGATTATTTGTTTTTAATTCTACCGGTTTCGGTTCAATAGTAGAACCATCTTCAGGAACCCTCGAATCTCGTCAATTTATTTTTAAATCTCTTGTGATAGTTAACATGATAAAAAATTCTTTTCTTCAATTCACAAGAACTTGTGTTTTTTTACTTGTAGGGTATTAGCTGTTAAGTTCAAAGTTAGTTACACAGGAATATGTGCGCACGTGTTTTTCATTCTTGTTTGAGGTTAGAATCTTTTGATATCGTTTAATGTTTGATATCGTTTAAAAACCTAACGTTGTACAACCAGTACTTCCACCTCTCTTTATACTTCTAGATGGGTTTTTTAAACGACATCAAAACTACATATGGGGACCAGACCGTCTCCGACATCAAGAGACTGATTAAGGCTAACAAAAAGGGCTGGACTCAGATCACTCATCAGTAATTATTGCTCTAAATAACAAAGTATTTAACAAAGAACCCTTTTTATCGCTCACTAATAAATTCACTAACTGGAATCTATTTCAACAAACATTAGACAATAAAATTCATCTTAATGCTTCTGGAGTACATCTTTTAGAAATCCCTCTTTCACAAAATTTTTTTTGTCGCATATCCTCTCGGCTCGTTGAAACAGGGCTTAGATCACTGACCTCTTACAATATACTTCCAGTTCCATGACCCCATCTAGTAATCATCTTTCTAGTGATCAAAACATCCAGAAAAGGTAACTGTTTTCCAGCTTTCGTTTCCATGGTAAATTTGATCATGGGGTGTTGTGAGCTCAGATAGTCAAGGAATTCCTGGAAAAGCTGTGTTCCATGCTACTACAACACAAAGATGTCATCTATAAAACTGTCCATAAAGCTTTATTTTCTATGGAGTGTTCCTTAACGCTTCTTCCTCAAACATCTCTATGTAAACATTGGCGATTACCGGTGACAAAAATGATCTAGTGACAGCCCTTTCGTATTGCTCGTAGAATTCTCCCTTCCATCTAAAATATGTAGTTATCAAGCAGTACTCGGAGTAGTGCTTAACCCGGGATAGTGGTGTACAGTACTCCACTATACCGGGAACATTCGTATATACAGGGTGTCCCATTAAGCGTACGGAGCGGCTGTATCTCAACAACGGTAAGGCCTAGAGGTTTGGGAAAAAAATACTTATGAGCAAAGTGGCCAAGAGAAATAGCTGGAAATTATTTTGAAGTTCGTAATTCGACCGCTAGGAACAAATCACCTTGCAACAACAACGTTACGAAACCGGCTTAGATAAATTAGATTTCGCCGCCAGCCAAGTTGGCACAATGCAAGAGGAATTACATGCGTTACAACCAAAATTGGTTGTAGCTTCAGCAAAAACAGAAAAGCTCATGGTTAAAATAGAACAAGACACCATCGTTGTTGAGAAAAAAAAGGAAATAGTAGGAGCTGACGAAGCTTTAGCCAACGAAGCTGCAGCTGCAGCTCAAGCTATCAAAGACGATTGCGAATCAGATCTCGCCGAAGCCACCCCCGCTTTAGAAGCAGCCGTTGGAGCTTTAGACACATTAAAACCCGCCGATATCGTCATCGTAAAATCCATGAAAAACCCACCTTTCGGGGTTAAATTAGTCATGGAATCCGTTTGCGTAATGAAAGGAATCAAACCGGATCGAAAACCCGATCCATCAACCGGCAGAATGGCCGAAGATTATTGGGGGCCATCCCAAAAATTATTAGGAGACATGAAATTTTTGGAAGGATTAAAAACTTACGATAAAGACAACATCCAACCAGCCATAATGAAACGAATTCGAGACAAATACATCCCCGATCGAGAATTCGACCCGGAACGTATTCATTCGGTTTCGACGGCTTGCGAAGGTATTTGTAAGTGGGTTCGAGCTTTGGAAGTCTACGATAGAGTCATCAAAATTGTCGCNCCCGCAACTACACGATAGCCGGTAGACTCCCGCTCCCTTTAATGAGGTTAGTTTGTCTTTGGCTATCGAAAGAGCGTTTTGAATTTTTCTGACCGTACCGTATCGTACCACGATATCGTTCTTCTTCAGATACCTTGCAATCCACTCCGTCTCACTTGAAACTTAAGGAAGTAGATAAAACCGGCTAGTGCAAAGTTATAGTGTTTTCCCTCTGCTTCCGTTGTTTGATGGCTCGTTGAATTTCCATCCACTGAATGTAGCCATTCTTCTGGAGTACATCTTTTAGAAATCCCTCTTTCACAAAATTTTTTTTGTCGCATACCCTCTCGGCTCGTTGAAACAGGGCTTGGATCACTGACCTCTTACAATACACTTCCAGTTCCATGACCCCATCTAGTGATCAAAACATCCAGAAAAGGTAACTGTTTTCCAGCTTTCGTTTCCATGGTAAATTTGATCATGGGGTGTTGTGAGCTCAGATAGTCAAGGAATTCCTGGAAAAGCTGTGTTCCATGCTACTACAACACAAAGATGTCATCTATAAATCTGTCTATAAAGCTTTAGTTTCTATGGAGTGTTCCTTAACGCTTCTTCCTCAAACATCTCTATGTAAAAATTGGCGATTACCGGTGACAAAGGTGATCTCGTGACAGCCCTTTCGCATTGCTCGTAGAATTCTCCCTTTCATCTAAAATATGTAGTTATCAAGCAGTACTCGGAGTAGTGCTTAACCCGGGATAGTGGAGTACTGTACTCCACTATCCCGGGAACATTCGTATATATATTCTGGCGAAAACCAACCACGGCATCATTTCATTCTACATTAAAACTTACCATAATATCCTGGGGACTGGGGATCTAACTTCATACTTTTGATTGATTCAACAAACTACGTAGAATCTCTGACATATTATTCTGTTATTGCTGTAAAGACAGTCAGAGAGACAGAATCTTGACAAGGTGTTTCGCCGTCTGATAAGATGGAGAATGTATAGCGCTGACAACAGATCGAAGCGGGACATCCGCTTTATGGATTGTAGGTAATCCATTTTCATTCCATTTTTGGTGATATTGGGGCCTATACAAACAAATAGTATTCTTAACAATTCCCTTTGTCTACTGGTAAGATAATAATGTCTGTTTTTCTCTGATTATCCGTGCCCTTCTTTCGTTGATTGTTAGATTTGATATTGAGCACCTTCACTGATTTAAGAACTTTCGCTATATCTTGTTGAATTTCCTTCGCTTTCACCGCAGCTATTCTGCGAACAGCCGCTTTTCAGATGATTTCTTCCTTCGGAACCCGCATCCGCACGACTGCATAATTTAACCTTTGACGAACACTGCTATTTCCTCCTCTGTTAATGGGACACTTTATCGGTTGATGACGACCGTTTAAATCTAGTAAGTAAAGTAGGAGTAAATCGTTGTTCCTCTTTTTTGCTGCTGCTTCGGAAATGACGTTGCACATTCTCCATGGTCATTTTATCTATTTTGTCTCAGCCTTCTCTAGCTATATAATTGGAAAGTGTCAGGTAGAATCGTAGTAACCTCTCATTTATTTGCTGCAGATCTTGAAGGTCCTATGACTTCTTTCCCGTATTAGTGCTTGTTTTAACCGAATCAAGATCCTATGAGCCACAGCAGAGTCGATAAGTGCTTCACCTTGAGAAAGGTTAACGTAATTTTCTTTTAAAAGAATTATAATTGAAATCCGTTTTACCAGTTTATAGGTTTATTTACGATTTATTTGTTATTAATAATCTTCAAGATCTCGATAATGTAAAATGAAAAACATTGATATTTTAATCTCCTTTTTGAATTTTTTGATAGTCTCTTGTTTATTAATTTAATGAGTTATTCGTTATTGTTCGCTTATTAATTTTGTAATTCACTGACCTTTAAATTCGGGACGGGTTTTTAACTTCCAAAATCCATTTATGTACAACGCGGGTTGTGAATTAAGGCAACGAAATAAAGAAATTAAAAAAAAAAGATTGAAATGTAATTAAAATAATAATTAATATTATATATAAAAAAAATTTAAACGTAAAGTTTTGAACATCTCTGAAGATGGCAAATAGCCGAAATTAGTGGGACTTATTTATATTTTAATTAAAGACTAGTTAAATGTACAAAAATATATATTTTTCTTCTTATTTTCTTTTTTCTGCGTTTTCGTAGGACGGCCAACCTGCAAGCGTTGTCTAATCCGTAAGCTATCAAAAATTTGTTGATGAAATGTTGATAATAAAAATTGATAACTAGAACTAACACTTGCACTATCACTAGAACAACAGTGTACCTAAAACTAGACACTTTCGGGTTAAGCCGTGCGTGTTTTGAAAAAGTCTTCCGACATTTCAGATAGGTACCATGTTGCAACCTTCTTCAAAAACACATGAAAAACAACAGAACAAACTTACCAAATTTTTCACTTCGAACTTGTTTTTTAAGATGGTTGTAAGATGACATCCGAAATGTCAAACACATTCTCAAAAGACGCACGACTTAACCCGAAAAGTTTTAAATCCACTGTTAGTTCTAGTGATAGTGGTGTGTTAGTTTCAGTTTTAGGATTGTATATTACATACAGGTGTCACGAAACATAACGTCAAGCGGACACCGGATGAGAGGCCAACTCATACCTGTTCTGGTAAATACAAGAAAAAAATTCCATGTCTCTTAGTTAAGAGGTCTACCTAGCTGGCGAAAAATTCGAAACGAGATTCGCTCTTGAACCCGCTTAATGCGGCAACACCGCTCCATGTGTGATCGGGCTGGCGCGCCAAGCCGATGGCGACTAGGACTGTCCGATTGTCGGGTAATTCCCCGACAATCAGCGACGTTGATTTTATTCTTAGTTGAATGCATTTAAATACGAGTCGGGGCCGCTTTTTGGAACATAGCTGTTATTGCTATGTAAAATTATATATTTTCTCGAAAAGGGATGTTGGTGGATGCCGATCTTATCAGATTCCTCATTATAAAATTGCACAGTATACCAAATTTTATCTGTATATGACAAATCATTGAAATTATTACAGATAATCTATACCTTAGCCATTTATTGATTTATACAGGGTGATTTATCAGCTCACCATCAAACTTTGACATATGATAGCTAATCCAATTACAAAAAAAAATGTTAATGAACATATGTCCTATTTTAATTAATTACGAAATTATAACACTTTAAAGTTTTCATTTTTATATCATAATTAACTGCTACATTTATTTTAAAATACATAAATATTACAAATATTGTTCAAAATAGACTCCAAGCAAATGGACCATTATTACCAATCCACTTGTTTGGAAAATATTGATTTAACCACTCGACAACTACTATTCCGCGATGAGGGGGGCATCATCGTGCTGGTACCACATATTTTGAATTACATACATTAAGAGGTAGTATCATATCTTCAAGTAAATCAAAAAGTGTGTTGTTCAAAAAAATCTGTAATTTACAGCGTTCAAACGTCCATCAAGTACATGCAAACCTAGTAAATTGTTGTTAAATAATCCACCCCAAACGTTGATGCTGAAACGTTGTTGAAATTTCCTTGGTCTAATCGCATGCGGATTTTGTAATGCCCAGATATGTTCAGTATGGTAATTATTTATACCATCTCGTGTAAAACATGATTCATCTGTCCAGAGATCATTTGAAATGAAGTCATTATTTTGGGCATGTTACTACAATAACCATTCACAAAATGCTAACCGTTGCTGATTATCTCCTGGCTGTAGAGCTTGAACGTTCTGTTTACGATACGGATGAAAGACTTGGCGATTCAATACGCGCCATGCAAAATGTTGACTTACATGTATGTTGTGTGCTATTCTTCGAGTGCTGATGGAACGATTATCAATGACAGCATTAATTACAGCTTCTTCGTCCTCTAGATTAACTACATGTGGTCGAATAGGATTACCTGTTTCTCGAAGTCTTCTGAAAGAATCGTTAAAAACTGAATAATATGGCAAATGACGCTGTGGAAATCTTTCGTGATATTCTGGTACTGATTATCGAGTATTTAAATTGCAAAAACCATACACGAAAATTATATCAGCATACTCTTCGGTGCTGTAAGCGTACATTTTGAATTTCTTCTTGTATGCAATAATTAAACCTTACAGCAAACTCACATATTACAATGACAACTTTGTTTTTGTTGAATGTTTGATTTTACTGACTATTAATAAATTCGCTGCAGAAAACTTTAAAGTGTTATATAATCAAAATTCATTAAGATTTTTTTTTGGTATTTGGATTAGCTATCATATGTCAAAGTTTGATGGTGAGCTAATAAATCAACCTGTATTTAAAGATTAAAAATGTTTACACTAGTTGTCATAATTTTTACTCTGGTAGTATATGTGGTTGAAATTATGCCACCACTTACAGAAACACCATATATTATTATATGTATAAGGTGCCCATTATTTATGGAATATAGTATATATCTCGGTAAATGTTGACTTTATAAAAAAACATTTTATACAAAAATTGTTTAACATTTTATTTGCCATAATAAGACAGCATTCAATTGTTTATATTTCAGAAAACAAATGAGCAACGAATAACACTTGAATTTTTTTTAATGGCAATGTATCCTTTCGTTAGGCTCATTTGATAGAGATTGTTTTTCTCTTTACGATGATGTAAAATTTTAGTACCCTTATATCAGAAAATTTTTGAAAAAATGCAAAAATTGTTTATTAAGAAAATTTTTAGTTTTTTATGAGTTAATATATTTTTTATTATTTATATTGTATTATTTATTTTAAAATATACCTTTGGTAATTCTTTACATTTTTATTTTGTATTTATTTTAATAATTACTCTAATAGTAGATGATCGGATAATTGTGCAAATATTCTCATTATTAAAAATTTATTGCCACACTTATTGTTAGACATTGTTTTGCATTCTACGTAAATTAAATGTTTAAATTTAAATTAATGATATACAAATTTTTTGATCTATCCGAAAATATTAATCGCTTCAGGTTTGTTTTTCTTGGGAGACACTACGCCGACGTCTCGGTTGCTGAGAATCCTGAGAATACCGAGCTCCACTATGTCTCGGGCAATGTTTGGGACGGAGCAATATTTGCGATGTTGCCGTATTTATACTCCGCAAGCAATCAAAACCGACCACACGTTTTAAACCCATTTCATTTAAATTTGCTGCATTTAATAAAAAAATTGAACTCTTGCTAAAAAAGGAGTACTACAACACCCTTGGCAACTCCTTGGTTAATAAAGATCACATTATTAAAAAATCACTATTAAATTGCGAACATTTCTAACCGTAATACTTAAAGATATGATCTACTGGTAAGATTTTTAACATTTTCTAAAACATGTCTATTATCGCTTAACTAAGGGACAGAATTTTTCTTATTTTTACCAGAACAGGTACGGTTGGCCTCTCACCCAGTACCCGCTTGACGTTGCGTTTTATGGACACCTGTATAACTTTTTATCTTTCAGAGTAATAATCAGTTTGTCGCAACGAATTTTAGTTCATTTTATAAACTAAAATTTAGCAATTCAAATTTAAAAGTAAGACTCGTCTATACGGGGGTTTCATTATTTGGAAAGGTATTGAGACCCTTAGTAAATAAGAACAAGATTTAAAAAAATCATATCTGGTTTATTTATAGAAATTAAGAAATAATTTTGACACAGTACTATTTCTGTACTAAGAATATACAATAGTAATAAAAATTTTATTGATATGACAAACACAAAGAAAAAAAAATTTTTGTAATAAACCTTGATTTTCTAACACTGAAACTTTTAAGAAAAAAATATATGAATATTAGAAAAAGGTTCAAAGAAATACTTAACTTCTAATGAATACTGACTAGTTTACTGATAAAAATGAAGAAATAATGTTTAGATTAAATTAAAAGATGTCTTTTAAAAATCACGTCTTAAAAATAAATTAATCCAAATAATCTTTGTGAAAAAAAAGACTATAAAGTTTGTTTAAAAGGTTTCCTTTCGCGTGATGCTATTTCCAATAAATAAATCAATATAAATAATTTCAAGGCGTTGCAACTTATTTTTAAATGTTTATGTGTATTATTTGTTGAAATAACGTTTACTAGCTAAGTATTCAACTTAATTTACGTATATGGTATCCATGTGAAATAAAATATCTGAAAAATACTGATATTAAGATTCACTGTAGTGTTCATAACTATCATTTCCAAAATTAGAAAATTCATTTGGTAAGTATTCACTATTGTTAAAACTTGTAGAAACACTATAAGAAGCAGTGTTATGAAAATGTTGAAGCATATTTAAAACTTCTTTGTTCTGAAGTTTAATGTCTTGTAGCTCGATTTCAAAAATATTCATTTTAGCTTCAAATAAATCAAATTGATCTCGTGATTTTTCGTAATGCTTTTCGTTAAGGCCATTTTCAATCGTTTCAATCTTAACCAAAATTTCATCAAGAATTTTTAGTATTTCGTCCATTTTTTCAGATTCTTGCTGGTATAAGGTTTCGGTTCTTTTAGCTTGAACAGTAAGATAGTTTTTAATATCATTTTTAATAGTATCAATTTGAACAATAAGTTGATCAACACTCTTTTTTCGATTGTACTCATTTTCAATGGTAACGTTATTAATCAATTTTTTTGTATCTTCTGCATTATTTTGAATTTCAAAATTTAGCTTTGAAATTATTTCGTTTTGATTTAATTCAATTCTTGTTAATTGAGTAGATAGTTCGTTAATTTTAATATCATTTTCTTTTATCGATTCTGTGATAATTTTATTTATACTGTAAGTAACAACCTCGCTAATTAAATTATTAACATTATTTGAAATGTTGTCATTTTTTATTTCTTTTAATAGTTCTGAGTCATTTATTCCAACGGTGTTTGTTTTAAGTAATGTTTCTATCAATTCTCGATTTACACCAAATTTTTCCACAATAACGTAATTAATAGCATGTTTGAGATCGTTTATGTCATCTACTTGTTGCTTATTTAGCTTTTTTAAGCTGTCATGTATCGTTAGAAGGTTATTCAGAAGAACATTTTGAGAATTTGAATTTTCTGTTAACGTCGTCATTTTATTTACGCTCCCAATAATTTCCATTTGAATGTTTTCAATATCTTTGGAAACATTGTCAATTTTCGTACAACATGGTTGATCTGTATTACAAGACAGCGAATGGGAAAAATGAAGGATATCATTTAATTTGTTTTCAACACTAAAAATTTAAGAAAATTATTTTCTTAATCTTAAATTTGCCAATTCATTAAAGTACTTACTTTTTTAATACAGCAGCAGTTTGTTTGTCATGTTTAAACAGTTGTTGCTTTATTTTACCTATCGTGTAATGTTTCCATATAAAAATAAATATTACCACCGTTTTCAAAACTTACCTAATATAAATTCGGCGTTTGGATTTGCATTTATAAACAAATTAACATCAACAACAATATTGAGAAACACTATGATTAAAAACACAATTCTGTTCATTATATCTTCTAAAGACGTTGTTTACACTGGAGGCTAATCCGACTAACAATCGACTGAAATAATCGTGGCAATGGCCGTAATAAGAAACAAAACCACAGAATGATAAGAAGAACGTAATAAAATTTGTTAAAATTCGTCGCTATATACTAATTCTTTGATTAATTCATAAATAGAAATGAATTTTGAGCTGTTCTCATCGCTGCTCTCATCATTTATCGCAGCTCCAACATAAAGGTACACTTAAGTGATCATAACTCATAAACAATGCACTCGGTTATCATGATCATCTATATTTATATTATTTAACCGTTATTTAACGTTTTTTTATTGAAAGAACGTTTTGATTATTTAACTTTTATTTAAAATTACAAAATTACATAAGACTTTATGAATACAGAAGCGTAACTCGAACACCGCGTTGACGATTGAAGTAGTTCGTGGAGAGTCGGAATTACAATTCTCTAATATCGAAGTATTCACAGTTATTTATAACAATTAATTGCTGACGCTTCACATATTCAACATATTCAGTTCATTCAGGTCATTACAGTTGTTAAGGGGCGGCTACATTTGGTAACTCTTCCCGTCTTAAAGTGAGCCAAGGATTGGGAGAGCTTCTCTCCGGGACTTGGGTTACTGAGATTTCGCTATCCTGGACTTTTTGCCCTTTTCTAAAACAAACTAAAATAATAATTATGATAATTATGGTCACGGTTCCAATGAGCGACGTCATCGAACTCCCTAGACTGAAAAGTTGGTTGGTTCTGAATTCTCGTAGCCTCTGGTATAGTTCGGTGACATTGGTTCTTGCATCATTCAGGCCTTCTGCACACGGAGCTGCTCGTCATAGACGCGTATTAGATGCGATTGTAGGAAGTGCATCTCACGTATTTTTAAATGAAAACCTGCACATAACGACGCGATTTCGTCTAACAAGACACTTAAAAGCGTCATGCAGCGACGCTTCTTATACGCCTAAAGATCCGCAAACGAACCGATCTTAAAACGTATTTCATTCAGTACTTGTCAATATGTCACGTGATGAAGAGGATCTACTTTTGTTAAATTATTTTCGTTCTCGTAAGAGAAAACAGAAATACAAGAGAAAATTTTGGGTGCATCCTTATATTCGCAAGAGACTATTTATTGTTGCCAAAGAGCTATCAGTAGACGACTCTAAATTTCAAAGCTTATACAGAATGTCTAAAAATACGTTTAAAGAACTTGTATTCATTGTAGGTCCCACCATTCAAAAACAAAATACTAACATGCGTTAATGTAAGGCAAGTAAAGTAATTTATTTATTATAAAAACAATAATACAAGTTATATATTTAATTTTTAAAGAAAATTATTTTGGTCATTTATATTACTACTACAAGCAGGTAAACTTTCCAAATTATGACTTGTGTATCCATCCGTGATGACATAAATACTGGAAGCTGAAGACGATGCAATACTAATCGGCGAGGGAGCGTGATTGCTTTGTGCGTTATCGTGTATTTAAAAATAATCTATAGATTGCTCTTGTTGCGTTAACAGTTCTAGCAATACAAGTGTTTTAATTTTAAATTGTCGCATATTTTTGTCTGATAAATTCTTTATGTCGGGTAATAAACTTAAAAGAAACATCCGTCGATCATTTTCTTTTTCCTCTACATGTCTTCTCTTTCTTTTCTTTTTTTCAATATTAAAAGAACTTTCTTCAGAAGATTTCGTGACGTTATCGTTTTTATTTTCTTCAAGCAGGGTATTACTTAACTGAGGTTCGGGATTGTCTTCGTCGGTCTCTGTCACTATTTCACTTTCTTCCAACGAAATTTTTCCGATTTTTTCTAAATGCTGAATGGGTCTTACATATGGCAAGACAAACTGCATAATGTCGTGCAAATAGTAAGGTTTTTTAGATTTTGCTGATGATCCACTCTCAGGTGGTTTAAGGCTGCGTACAAAACCATTCCGAATGTTTTTCCAGTTGTCTTTACAATCTGCCGGTATGAAAAATTCGCGTATTTATAAGCAAATATAGCGTGCTTTTCATATAATATATACAACTATTTTTTTGTTTTAGATATTTAGCTACTGGCTGTACATTTACTGCTCAAAGAGGTGAACGTACCGTGGGAAGTATTGTAGAACAAACTACAAAAGCGATATGGAATGTGTTGAAGGAGCCATATATGTCGTTACCAAATACAGAAAAATGGAAACAAATAGCAAATCGATTTTTTGAGCTATGGCAGTTGCCAAACTGTTTAGGAGCAATTGACGGTAAACATATCTAGAAAAGCGCTAGGCGGAGTTTTTGATCGCAAAAACTGTTGACTATATACGATAGGATTAGTGGGTGCGGCGATCAGAAACAAAAAAGTAACTAAATTATTACTTGCGATATTTCGAAACTTTATTGTTTCTTCTACAGGCAATTAATCATAGTTAAATGAAATCGGGGTAGTTGAAATACATCAAAACACTTCTTGACTACTCATTAAAACCAAAGGCATCTTTCGGGTTTCCACATTTGGTCGTTGGTTGGAGAACAATAATACTTTGCCATCTTTAACAAAACTTCTAAACGACGAAAGTGGGAATAAATTCCCATATTATTTTGCAGCTAATAACGCATTTCCTTTGAGACAAAATATTATGAGACCATACCCGGAAAGAAATATTAACAATAAATTGCGAATTTTCAATTACACACATAGTCGTGGAAGAAAAACAATAGAATGTGCTTTTGAAATGATGACTCAAAAATTTCAAATTTTTTTAACACCTATACAAGTCCGCAAATATGAAACAATTATATCATAAATATAACACAATTTCATTAGAAATAATGATGGCACATTATACGCAGTTCCTGTAATAAAAAAGAATCCGCAAAATCCGAGAAAGTTGCCAGATATTGAAAATATAAATATCAATGAAACTTCCTCATCTCAAAATCTCCGAAACTACTTAGCTAATTATTTTTTATCACCAAATGTAGCTTTACCATGGCAATGGAATTATTGTTTATAAAATGTTAAAATGAATATACATATAATATAATAATATATAAAATAATTCTTGAATTACCTGTCCACTTCATTTTTTGGCCTATTGCAGACCAATCTTTTTCGGTAACATCTTTTCTAGAGTGTTCACATAATGCATAATTATATAAACATTGATAATTTTCAGTTAACTGAACAAGTTTCACCGTTTGATCAGTTTTATCTTCCATTTTTACTTATTATTTTATTTATACGGCGTTACCTCTACGCCAAGCGACCAACACTGCTGTACGCCGGCCGCTATGCAGCTTGCATGTTCAAACCAGATCGCGACGCTGCGTCGCCATGTGCAGGTTTTCATTTAAAAAACACGTGAAATGTAATGAAGCGTACGTACTCATTGCTGCCAATTGGAGATGCGGATGTTTTCCAGTTGCCAAGGTGATTTTTCCTCTGGTATAGTGGACAAATTTACAGCGGCTAAATGGAATTGACGATCTGGTAAATTATTGATGGTGGTGCGCAAGATTTCTTTTCTCAAGTGGACGCTACAGTCAGGTTATTTATTATTATGTATTAGGAGATTTCCGTGTAATAGACGATCTTCGTACCGCGTTTCTCCTGTTGAGTTGGTCATTTCAATTGCAGGAATTTGTAAGATGAACGTGAAAATGTGGTTTTTCTATCTGGCATAAATTCTCATCTGTCGGAGTTAATAGTAACGTTATTCGACTATTGAAGACTGAATGAAGCGTAAATCTTCTAACAGTCTTGTGCCGGAATGATCGTTACATGGTACGTTTGCAGATAACCAAATGTCTTTGAATATTTTAAGACTTTCTTGTGAGAGATGGATTTGAGCCAATATTGCTGCCGATAGTTCCCGTTGATTTAATACAACTTCTATTCTCACTTTGTCGTACTTTTATAATTAAATCCAAGAATTTCATTGCTCCTCTGCGATGTCTGCTTGTCGGTATGAGTTGTTGTCTTAATTGTTGTAGCAAATCTTTGATATTCCTCATAAGGGTCTGGAATGACGTTTGGTCGGTACCGTTTTCTCGGTTTTTGGTTTTTCACTGTTGCCCAGATGTATGAGAATAAAGGACCATATAACGCGATTATTCAGACATTGAGTCTGGTTCAGAAGCATCTGAAACAAACCGGTATGAAACATAACACGCCATTTCAATGTAGTAACCCGGTTTCACAAGCTCTTGTAAGTACGCATTTTTAAGTAACAAAACTACAGAAAATTTGACGCTTATACCAGTTGAAATATAACAATAAATACAATTGAAAAATTAGCGTAAATAAATTGTCTTGCACCGATTTCGTAAAGGCTGTGTTACCCTTATATTAAAAATCGCCCTGTGTTAACGATGGCAGTCCCCAAAAATCTGATAGTTGCTGAATATACTAAAACATCCCACTTGTCGAATAGCGTGGCCTGATTTAGTTGCTCTGACTTCGTAAGGGCTTTTTTTATTCACCCCTATGTTACAAAAATCGCCCATGTTAACGACGGCACTCCCAAAAAATCTGATAGTTGCTAAATATACTAAAACATCCCACCTGTCGAAAAGCGCCTGCAGATTTACTTACTCTGACTTCGTAAAGGCTCTTTTATTCACCCCTATGTTAAAGAAAATCGCCCTGTGCTAACGACGGCAGTCCCCAAAAATCTGATAGTTGCTAAATATACTAAAACATCCTACCTGTTGAATAGCATGGCCAGATTTACTTGCTCTGACTTCGTTAGGGCTCATTTATTCACGATGATTGATAAATATACTCTATTCGATAGCTGGGATGTTCTAGAATATTTATCTATCATCGGATCTTTGGAACTGCCGTCGTTAACACAGGGCAATTCTTTTAACATAGGGGTAAATAAAAGAGCCCTTTGAAAGTCAGAGCAAGTAAATCTGGACACGTTTTTCGACAGATGGGTTGCTTTAGTATATTTAACAACTATTAGATTTTTTGGGACTGCCGTCGTTAATACAGGTCGATTTTTTTATACAGTGTCCGCCAAAACGTCAGCAACACCCGTTTTATTTCTGTTCCATTGCATCTACATTTCTGAAATTTAGTTTATGTTAGAGGTTCATACCGACCTTTCGATCTAAAGTATTTTCAAGATGGTGTACACTTTCGGTACCCCGGAAGTAGACCACAACTTCGTTATTTTAAATGGAATACTATAGTTTTTATTGCACCTTTTAATTATATGTGCAAAAATAAATTGACTTTGATAAAAGTTATTGGTACCTAGCGCTTTTCGTTTTCGAGTTATTTTGATTTAAAATGTTTCTTGTCAATTTTCACCATGCTCTTTAAAACTCCATATCTCAGCAAACGTTCATTCAAAAAAGCTTTAAATTGGCACGATTGCTCTTCAAATGCTGTAAAATAGATTGTCATTTGCTGTATCACAGTATGTTGTACAGGTTGGTCAAAAAGTGAATTACCTTTTTTCACTGGTGTGAAGTTATCCATAAATCCCAGCAATAAACTTAAAACATTAATAATTCCGTAACCAACACGATTTGGGTAACCAAATTTCACACACAGGTCACTCTTACCCTCAAGAACAGCTAACCACCCCCATTTGGTAAAAAAAATTTTTTCAAGCCTCACCCCCGAAAAAGGGATGTTTTCGCCCTGATGGGCACCTTCATGAGGTAGGCTTAACTTAATAGCACATTTTATAAAATTGTTTAAAAAAAAAATTAATTCCCGAAAATTTATAATTTAAACTTAAAATTTATCCTTTTTTTCCCTTTAGACCTTTTATTCTGGGGCTATTATTTGAAAATTCCAAGATTTCCTTAATAAAGGTTTTTCCCGTGTAACCCCCATCGGACTCGACAACGCTGCTGAATCAATGACGTGGTTGGAAGCCGTGGTGCCTCCGGAAGGATTCTGCATTTAGAAAAAAATATAAAGTCCGACACGGTATTTATTATTTTATTTTTGTTTTATTGTGTTCTTGGAACAATTAAGTTCCATTTAAAGAGTTTATTCAAACTCTTATTTTGTTTCGTTTAAAATCCTAAAAGAGAATAATTTGATTAGTATTTTTTTGTAATCTTGGCAAGTAGCGTCTTCAACGCCTTACCTTATATTGTAGTTAATTTACTGGTGTGAAGTTATCCATAAATCCCAGCAATAAACTTAAAACATTAATAATTCCGTAACCAATACGATTTGGATAACCAAATTTCACACACAGGTCACTCTTACCCTCAAGAACAGCTAACCACCCCCATTTGGTAAAAAAAAAATTTTTCAACCCTCACCCCCGAAAAAGGGATGTTTTCGCCCTGATGGGCACCTTCGAATTAAACGAAATTCTACCACATAATAGAACACACTTCTAAGTATTTTTATCAATTTTCAAAACACCGTAAGCCCTAACGGTTTTCGAGAAAAAAAATCAGTATTATAAACCGCGGATGGGACTTTAGGGGTGAATTTGACCCCGTTGGGCACCTCCAAAATTGATCAAATTTTAGGATGATTTAGAGGATGCCTTTAGCAATTTAAATCGACCATCCAAACACCGTAAGGTATAACGGTTTCCGAGAAAAAAAATTTGTTATTAGACACTATTGGTACACAACGCGGCGCTGGCGCGGCGGGAATTGATGAAATTTTAGGATGATTTAAAGGATGCCTTTAGCGATTTAAATCGACCGTCAAAACACCGACCACGGCTTCAGAGAAACAATTTCGTTATTAAATTGTACACGTATGTAGAGCAGATAGTAGGTGCCTTTAGCGATTTTAATAGATTATGAAAACTGCGAAACTCTTAATATTTCATGGAAAAAATAAATTTTGTTAAGAAAGGCATTTTGTAGTTTTATGGGCTTTTAGTCGTTACTGGCAAAGGGTAAGAACTCCGCCACGTGCAGTTACAAAAGGCGCAGGTATTAAGGAAAAAATATGTCCATATTTTTTGCATTATAAGTGCATTCCGGGAAAATAGTTGCCGACTTATTCGGTGTTGTTTTAGAGCGTCATACACATTTTTTAGATTTTGCCCGAAAGGTGAGGAGTAAACTTATAATATATAAAGATTCCTCAGCTATTGCAGAGATCAGCTGTTCTAGTTATCTCTTGTTAAAACCAGTGACCAGTGAAGATGTCGACGAAATTACTGTTTTTGGGCGATAGTAATTTTTGCCGAATGCTACGTACTAGAACTAACTACAAAGTATTTGTTCTAACAGATGTGAAATTAATTCCTACTAATGGTATATATTTTAGGACGACAACCAAAACAGTCAAGCAACGGAAAATATTTCCTCGACTTAGCAGTAGGCGGTCAAACAATACTAAAACTTTTGCGGCGCGCAAAGTGTATTCCAAAAACATGTTACCCTTGGTTTTGTGGAGATATTGTTGAACGTCATATCGTTATAATGATAAGAACTAAAGATATACTCCATAAAACATCACCATCCCAACTGAAGTCCCAATATTCTCACCTCTTCCGCTTCCTTCTTTCCTTAAATCCTAAAGGAATACAAATTTGCACAATTCCTCCCTGCAAAAACTTCGAGTCTGTGAACGTAAGATATTATAACTTCTCTGTCATGCTATAAATAAATACTCTCCATGCCTTTATAGGAAATCAATCATTACATTCGACGGTTTTGTGCTGAAAAGCAAATCAATTGTACCGACATTGAAGCAATTGTTAACAGAACCATGATGGAAGGGTAACAAAACGTAAAAATGTTTCTTTTCTTATGTATTTAATACAAATTTCTACACAGGGATGGCATTTACTTAAATGAACAAGGGTTGGAAACGGTCTGGAACGCGGTAGCAAGTAATTATAATCATATTCTCAATCCATTACACAATTTAATTATAAGTAAAACAGACCATTAATATAATAAATTTCTTTCTCTATCAAAAGTTTTTTTTCTATCAAAAGTCCGCCCTCCAAATCATCCTAAAATTTCATCAATTTTGGAGGTGCCCAACGGGGTCAAATTCACCCCCAAAGTCCGCGCCGCGATCTGTACCTATAGTGTCTAATAACAAATTTTTTTTTTCGGAAACCGTTATACCTTACGGTGTTTGGATGGTTGATTTCAATTGCTAAAGGCATCCTCTAAATCATCCAAAAATTTCATCAATTTTGGAGGTGCCCAACGGGGTCAAATTCACCCCTAAAGTCCCATCCGCGGTTTATAATACTGATTTTTTTTCTCGAAAACCGTTAGGGCTTACGGTGTTTTGAAAATTGATAAATATACTTAGAAGTGTGTTCTATTATGTGGTAGAATTTCGTTTAATTCGAAGGTGCCCATTAGGGCGAAAACATCCCTTTTTCGGGGGTGAGGGTGGAAAAATTTTTTTTTTACCAAATGGGGGTGGTTAGCTGTTCTTGAGGGTAACAGTGACCTGTGTGTGAAATTTGGTTACCCAAATCGTATTGGTTACGGAATTATTAATGTTTTAAGTTTATTGCTGGGATTTATGGATAACTTCACACCAGTAGTTAATTTAGGTATTATTTTGAAAGTAGTATAGAAACGCCGATTCTAGATAGGAAGTTGCACCACCGCACCACCGTGACGTCATCAATCCAATGTAAAAGGATAGGGAAGGGTACCAACCTATGGCTGTGGTGAAAAAAAAAAAGGTTGGTATTGGAAAAGTAACTAGATCTGGTGACTTTAAAAAAAAAGTAACGCGCCACCTAGTGGTTGGTAGTGGAACTAAACCACTACCGACAAGGTAGACTGTTACTTTTTTTAATAAGTGACCAGATCTAGTTACCAACTTATTTTTTTGGCATAATTAAAGAACCGTCAATATCCTTAAAAATCGACGATTTTTTTTAATCGTTGTGAAATTGCGTGAATAATACGCTGAATATAAAAAAAAATATCGGAAAAGTGTCAAACTTACCGAAAAATGACTTTAAAGTTTCGCTGTGACGTCACGTTTTGTGACGTCATCAGCCATGCTAACCACATCTCTCGGCATCAACAATGGTATAAGCAATCGATTATAAGCTTTCGATTATATTGCCTACGGTGGACAGGGTGGTGATTCTTGGGGATTTTAATATCGACATGTTGACCGTGACCACCCATAAGTCCCTAGCACTACAAGATTTACTTGATTCTACGGGCTTGTATCAAGTCATTGAGGGACCAACACGAGTAACCCAATCATCGTCTACTTTGATTGATCTGATACTGGTATCTGACCGCAGCATGGTCAGTGAGGTGGGTGTCGCAGACGGGGGAAGTATGTCAGATCATGATATAATATACTGCAATCTAAAATTTAAAACCCCACCACATCCGCCTCTGATTAGAACCTTTCGCTCTTTCAAATATTTTCAATACGATCACTTCGCTGATGATCTGTATAGAATACCATTTTTTCACATTTTTGATATTCCCGACGGGGACTCTAAGGTAAATTTTTTCAATAACGCCCTATGTAGTGTTCTAGAGGTACATTGTCCACTGAAAACCTGCAGTTTTGTAAGACCTCAGTCGCCATGGATCACTGATACAATCAAGTCTATGCAAAAAATTCGGGACAGGGCATATCGGGAATTTAAAGCAACAAAGCTACCGCAGAAATGGACCTTTTATAAAACAATGAGACGAATTGTTACGGAAGCTATCCGTACAGAGCGCAGAGTATATCTTGAACTTCAAATTAAAAGCGCGAATAATAAATGGACAGCATTGAGAAAAGCGGGTTTGTTTAATAAGAAGCAAATTTCAATACCGGGGCACCTTAAAAATCTAAACCAGTTGAATGCGCACTTTGTCGGTGTGGGTATATCGGGGTATGATGCTGACCTTTACAATTATTATCTTAATAATACACTATATAGCCAGGTTTTTGAATTTGCTGAAATTGCTGAAGCCAATGTTGAGGAAACTATTAACGCAATAAACAGTAATGCTATGGGCTATGACAGCTTAAATATAAAAATTATTAAATTGTGTTGCCCCCATATTATACCATATGTTAGGCATATTGTAAATCATGTCATAGAGACTAGTTCCTTCCCGGCTTCGTGGAAGATATCGTTGCTAAACCCTCTCCCTAAAATTAATAATCCTCAAAGGCTGTCTGACTTAAGACCAATAAGCATATTGCCGGTTCTCTCAAAGGTCATGGAGAAGATTTTATTTGAACAACTTAGCAAATATATTGTAAACAACAGCATTCTGCCGGACCGACAATCTGGTTTTCGCCCTGGTTTCAGTTGCGCGACCGCGCTGGTTGACGTTGTGGATGACATTGTGGGAGCGATGGATAGCGATAAAATTACCGTTCTTTGTCTGCTTGATTACTCGAAGGCCTTCGACACTTTGAACCATAAAATCTTGCTGTCCAAACTGCACCATATAGGGTTAAAGTACAAGGCAGTTAATTTACTGGGGAGTTTTTTGGATAATAGGGTGCAACGTGTGAGTGTGGATGGTCGGGTGTCGGAGGCAATGACGGTATCGACAGGTGTCCCACAGGGATCGGTTCTCTCCCCGCTCCTTTTCTCAATATACACTAGCGATTTTCACAAGCATGTATCTTTTTGCAATATGCACCAATATGCCGATGACAATCAGCTTTATGGGTCTTTTGGCGAGGGTGAGGTGGAGGAGGCCTGCAGGCGGATAAGTGCTGACCTAGATAATCTTGTGGATGTGTCTCGTCGTCATAATTTATTAATTAACTCAGCAAAAACCGACGTTATTGTTTTTGGCCCGAAAAAACTTAGGGAAAGAATTAAACCCAAACTTGACATACGCATAGGAAACCAACAATTAACGTGCAAAGATTCAGTTAAAAGTTTGGGAATAATTATTGATGAGAATCTAACTTTCAATGAGTATATTAATAAAAAGATCCGGGCGGCATACTGTCAATTAAAATCCATTTATAACGCGCGTCATTTCCTAACCGGTAGCAGTAAACGTTTACTTTGTGAGAGCCTGGTGTTATCGGGTTTTAACTATGGGGACATGTTGTACTCCTCTTTTCTATCTAAACGTATAGCTCAAAAAATACAAAAAGTACAAAATTCATGTCTGCGACTAATTTTTGGTATAAGGCGACGAGAGCACATTAGTCACAAGTTGATTGAAATAAGCTGGTTAAATATGATCAACCGCAGAAAATTACATTGCGCAACAGCTTATTTCAATATTATAACGACAGGTCGACCACCCTACCTTCGCCGGAAGATACGGTACAGGACGGACGTGCACACCCTCAATATTAGGTTTAAGGGAACTCTCACACCACCCATTCACAAACGTCAATTTTTTAAAAAATGCTATTCTTACCAAATTTCAAAACTGGTTAACGAGATTTCTGGATCTGTAGGACTGTGCACGTCCGTTGCATTACTTAAACGTCGATATAGGGCAGCCTTGTTTTCGGCTCAATATAGATAATAGTAACGGATATTATATTGATTCTTGAAATAATTATTAAAGCCACTTCAAAAAATAGGGGGTGGGGTGCATTTTTATGGTTATGGGTAGAATGTAAAGGGGTAGGTATGATGTTCATGGGATCCAGAGTTATTGCGATAACAGAATGACATCTTGTTTTGTTATCCTCGTTTAACCTGGGGGTATATTTTGGGTTGGTTGTTATACAGAATCTATAGATTAATAGGGACGGGGGGTAAAGGGATTTGAAGGGATAAAAGGATAATAAAGGATAGTTTAGAAAGGTGGGAGAGAGGGGGACTATTATCAAAATATGAATCGACATCGAATCTCACTATATTACCAAACAGGAAAAATAAAATATCCCCAAACAAATAACATGTAATCTCAAATTAACTTTGACAACGAATTCCATGACACATCACGTATCTAAACAATTTTAATCCTCTTCAATCATACTTAATAGATATCATCTATATAGTTTAACAATAGAAATAAAGAAGGAATTACCAAATGAATCAAGCTAAAGTATATTTTTGTAACAAATTGACGTAAGTTTTATTATATTAATATAAAAGTTCACATTAGCATGCTAATCTAAGATTTGCTTAAGAAAATTTATATCAATGTAGATAACTCTCCTGAAGATGCTATGTAAATATAGCGAAACCGGTTGAGAAAAAACAATAAATAAAATCCATTAAAGTGCAAAAAACGAAGTTTTAATTTATACACATACAATGGAAAGAAAATCACCTAAAAATATAAATAAAAAAAATAATAAAATTAAAAAAAAAATAAATAAATAAAAATAATAATAATGTTGTTTTGTTTTTTTTTTAAAAGATACAATTTTGGGAATACCGGCAAAGGCCGCTTAGCTCTGTACCACCCCTTCTGTATTGTTTTGCATTAAAGAAGGGGTGGTGGAAAAACCTAATTATTTTTGGGTACTATATATAAACAGTTTTTCCTTTTTTAAATTTACTTATGTTTTTAACATGGCTGAGGTAAGTTGAATATTTAGACCATAATATTAGATATAAATTTCTATTTTTTTTAGACTCATCAATTGTCAATGTTCTTGCTGCGTCAGTGTGGAGAGGAGTTACTTAACAGCTTGAGGGGATGGGGTTTCATTCCAAAAGAAGGCGACTACAAATGTCCACAATGCGAGGAGCCGCTAGTTCTGCAACAACATAGCCGATCCAGAGATGGCTATATGTGGGCCTGTAATGGTCGTGTTTCCATTCAGAAAAAAAAGAAGCAAAAGTGCGGTAAGACTGTATCGTTTCGTACCGGCACGTTTTTTGCAAACTCTAAATTAGAAATTTCTCAAATTTTAGGGTTCGCGTCTTTATGGGTAGATAAGGTTTGTCTGAAAGTCATCGCGAAACTCACGCAAATGTCCCTGCAATCTGCGGTCGACTGGGCATCGTTCTGTCACGAGGCTGTATTAGACAAATTCCTATTGCATCCGGATATGTTAGGCGGTCCGGATTCTGTCGTCGAGATAGACGAGAGTAAATTTGGCCGACGTAAATATCATCGCGGACACCGNCCTCTTTCCTATCTAAACGTATAGCTCAAAAAATACAAAAAGTACAAAATTCATGTCGGATTAGACATGGAGAAGGGTGTGGACCAAATATTAGTATGGTTTTGTTGAAAAAAAAACGTTACATTCGGATCCACCTAATATACTGATTTATTTCAGAATTTTGTGTAGAAATTAGATGTTGAATTAGGTTAATTTACGTTTAAACTAGTGACAATTTCCCAAATGTCGGATTAGATATGGAGAAGGGTGTGGGTCAAATATTGGTATGGTCTTTTTGAAAAAAAAACGTTACATTCGGATCCACCTAATATACTGATTTATTTTCGAATTTTGTGTAGAAATTAGATTTTGAGTTAAGTTAATTTATATAGGAATTAGAATTTGAGATCGAGATTCTTAAATGTCGGGTTGGGTTCGGGGTAGGGGAGGGTTGTAAAAGAAACAGATCCACACGAGCAAGTATATGGTAAAGAAGGACGTTTTAGTCGTTGTTCGTCGAAAACCGAAGTAACAAGGGTATTTCACCCGAAACAAGTTGTTAATTCTTTCATTAAATTTGACAAAATGATTTAATTTTTACTTACTTCATTCGTGTTGTGTGCATGTATGCGGAAGAAACATTGTCTTGGACCAGTGTTAATCGTACTATTGTGAAAAATACGGCGTAAGTAAGCTTCGTGACGTCACAAAACATGATGTCACATCGAAATTTTAAAGTCATTTTTCGGTCACTTTGACACTTTTTCGACAATCATTTTTATTTTTAACGCGTTTTTCAAGCAATTTCACAACGGTTAAAAAAAAATCATCGATTTTTAAGGATATTGACGGTTCTTTAATTTTTCCAATGTTTGTAATCAGGGCCGGCCTTCTTAATGAAGGGGCCCGGGTGCAAGAAAAATTTTGTAACCTTATTCTTATATTCGGTATAAAAATAGCGGATTAGTTCAAATTTAACAACAAACAAATTAACATAACCAAATTTATATGCATTTTTATTATCTTTAATAAATTAAATAGTAAATTAAATAGTTTTATTATCTTAAGTTACACTAGTAAAATTTTAATTATTTAGCACACCTTTTTATAACCAAATTATTAATTACACTAGTAAAATTTAAATTGTTTGCAATGTCTCTTTCAATACTTAACATAGCAAATGCATTTAAACGTTCTTCACACATTGTTGATCGAAGGTAATTTTTTATAAGTTTTAATTTACTAAAGGAACGTTCTGCACATGCTGTAGTAACCGGTAACGTGAAGAAAATTTTTAAAGCAGTTAGCACATTTGGAAATAGTTCGTTATAATTATTGTCTAAAATATACTGTAAAATATCTTGGACGCTATTTAAATTGTTTTCGTTCAAAATTAAGTTTTTAATAAGGAAATTTCTTGAATTAAATCTTCGTTTACATCGTTATTTGTAATAGTGTCAGGGACATAACCTAGAAATAAAAGATGACGTGCTTTGTAAATTTCATATCAATTTGAATATTTTTATTTTTATTCTTTAATTAGGTAAGTTCTTGATGATGATTTTGTATAATCGAAACCGGTTGAACTTTATTTTAAAAATATATCCATCCAAAAAAGTGCAAAATTGAGTCACATTAAATACTGTATATATATTGTATAATACTGTATATTTTGATGTACTTTAACAGGAATAGTTTCCATTGGTGCTGAATACTCTCAGTTAAGAGAACTATGTGCCATATTAAACATACCACACATGACGCAACGTCAATACACGACAATCCAAACTGAATTACAGGAGGTTGTTGAAAATGTTCTTTTAAATAGATTAAAGGTTACTGGGAAAGAAGGAGCTGCTATAGCAAAAGCTAAGAGTAATGTCGATGAACATGGCATTGGACATATAACTGTTGTAGCTGACAGAGCATGGTCCAAACATTGGAATTCGCAATAGAAATTGTAGGATTTGTGCAAGGCAACAATTTACCAAACAACCTTGTATTCCTCATAAATGTTTTAAAAATTAGATTGGTCCATCCACGGGCATGGAATCCGATATAATTGTTGACGGATTCTAAAATAGTGTGCCAGTACATTTTTTGAAGTACATCAAATTAATTAGAGACGGTGTCAGTAGTGTTACTAAAAAATTAAATTCCTCAAAGCCATACGGCACCCTTCTAATAAAGAAAGTTGTGTGCATCAACCACTTATTACGCAATTTTAGCAATAAATTACATGAGCTGTCTAGAAAAGTGCGCAGCTATACAAGAATATATGTACCACTGCACGTTCGGAGGCAGCTCCACAGCAACATCTTGAGATTTCGAGTAGCTGTAAGAAAATCTGCCGAGTACAGAAGCAAGCAAGATATTGTATACGCACAAAAGCTAATATTTAAAGAAGACATGTTAAATATACTAGCTCATATATTTAGAGACCATGATAAGTGTGCGAATTATTTTTGTAATAATGTCACAGAAAAACAAAATTTATTACGGACGGAATTAGATAAATCAAGAGTTGTTAAAATATCCATTTCATTTGATAATATATATAATGTACTTCGTTGTAATATTTATAATAGAAATTCCAACAATTTGTGAGATAAGCCAATTATTATATAATTAGTTATTATATTATTTTATAGTAGTTAAAACAACTGATAGTTTTTGTAGATAATTCAACAACTTATTGTAGATTGAACAACCACCTTAGTAGATAATAATCACAAAATCGGTGATTGTCTCAACCATAATTTCTTTACATTAATCAAAATTATTTCGATATTTTATCGATAAAAGTTATTAATCTATTAAATTAAATTATTTTGAATGTCTACAATTATAGACAATTTTAACCCGACTTGTTCTTTACAGCGTCTCATGTTCGGGAACTTGCATTCTATGCTTCGACGCAGAACAAACAAGTTGAAACACGTATTTATCGGTAGTGTGGTTGAAGCGCAGTGATTAAGTTTGCAATGGACATAAGCAATGAAACGGATTTTGTTAGTGAGTTATTGGAGTCGTGGGGACTCCATCAACTTATTCCCGACTTTAAAGGTAAGTAAAAAAAATTAAGTAACAAAGAATAATCCCACAATACCTGTTTAACAGGTTTAGTGCCATGGCGGACACCGGTGTCCGCTACTGAGGCAGAAATCCTGGGCCATGGCGCTTAACCTGTTAAAAAAGTAATTCCTTGATTCATATTTAATTTAGTTCTGTTTAATTTAAGTGTGACAGAAATTTCAATCAAACAACAATCTAATAATCATTTGGGTAAAAAATTAGCATAAATAAAGACCGTTAATATTCTTAAAAATCGACGATTTTTTTTTCGGATGTGAAACTGCCTGAAAAACACGTTAAAAATAAAAAGAAAGTGCGGAAAAGTGTCAAACTTACCGAAAAATCACTTTAAAGTTTCGCTGTGACGTCACGTTTTGTTGTTTACACAACATTTAGTAGTAAGTGTTTTTAATATTTATTTGTCGTAGTATTTTTTTCTAGTTAATATAGCTTAATGGTTATTTTATGTATTATTGTAGGATAAAACTTACATATATGACTATATAAATGATAGAACAAAACAATATGAAGAAGTAAAGTGGTCTGTACAACCAACTATTATTATTATTGGAAAATCGAAAGAAAACCTAACGGATTTTTATATATACATCAATGACATTTTATATGAAGTGGACAATTATTTAAAAGCACTCTCTATTACGTTCCAACTGTACCAAGTTTTGAATTTGGAATACCCTCCACAATGTGATCAAGTGTGGCGCTTTATTGAGGAATATTTTTATAACATTGAAACGAAAAACAAAAGAAGTACAAAGTTAATTGCACTCTTAGGTGAACTAAATCAAATGCAGTAAAGCGTCAAAAAAATAATAGGTAACATGAAATGTTTTTTGTGTTCAGTTACATTCCTTAATAGTAGAAATTACATTACACTTTTAAAACTCGTTCATAAGTGTAAGCACACTTTGTCGAATTTCATATGCACTAATTGTCCACAAACATTTCAGTCGTTGTATTCGTTTAAACGTCATGTTGAAAAACACATGCGTAATAATAAACAATTTAATAATAATGTAACAATTAATTATCAATCAATAAGCAGCAATACTACAAGATGTGATAAGAGTGAGATTACCGCTACAGCATCGGCACTTCCAAATTTAAACGAACAGCAATCAATTAGAGCCAATAATTTCAATGAATATAATGATCCAAATCCAGATTTTCGTAAAAAAAATCATTAGCTTTCTGCTAAATTTATTTGGATCAATGTCTGTTACCCGAAAACTCGCTCTTAGTACAGCAAAAGATATACAGTTATTAATTATTGTCCCATTAATAGAATTAATTAAAGCAGAATGAAGTAGTGATAGTTATTCGGTTATAGATAGAATGCTAATCGAATTGAAAGACATATTCGATATTTTTGAGTTGGAATACAAACTAAAAGCAATACCTTACAATCAATAACTTGTATTCAGATCCTGTAGAATATGTAATCAACGAGAGTACAAGTACCACTGATTTGTCACTTTTAACTAAAGGAGTAACATTTCCTTTAATAGACAACGTTAAAAGGTACTTGAAATTACCAAATGTGTTTAAAATTATGTTACATAATTTGGAAGAAACGGAAAAAGATGATAAATATAATAATGTTTGTAGCGGCAGCGTTTGGAAAAAAAATGTTTTTCTAAGAAGTGTGTCTTGCCCTACATATTTTACCAAGACGATTTTGAAATTAATAACGCGTTAGGTTCAAAAAGTTGTGTTCAAAAATTATCTGCAATTTATTTATCCTTTCCCTTGTTAGACTGTCGAGAAGCTTCCAAACTATCTATGTGCGCTCTAATTATAGGCGACAATAACAGCGGAGGTGCTGGTTTCAAAAATTAGCAATAATAAAAAAAAACAAGATGATTGTAATAAAAAAATATAATTCTTAATTAAAAAAAATTAAATAAAACAAATGATAATTGATTAATTACCTTTTGAAGCGGCGTAGCGATGCGGTAGAGAACTAAACTGAATTTTTGGCGGATGCGAAGCGGATGCGTAGTATTCAAATACGGGTCAACTTAGTTGAGTCGTAATACGTAATAAATTAAAAGCGGAGTGCGTTAAGGGTGCGCATGCGGACCAAGCGGGTGAAACTCACACTGAGCGGGGGCGAATGTCGCACATGCGCACTAAAAATATATAAGCGGAGCGAACAAACACCCGCCAAAAACGAATGTTTTTAACAACACGGAAAAGTAAATAAACATGAATTGTGCCGCGAATAACAGTAAATGTACAAGCAACTTAAAACATGATACAAAATAAAAATCAACAATGTTCAATTGGCAACAGACAAAGTTGCGAAACAGGTCGCTGTAATCGACCATGCGCGGTCTTAACCGTTACGACGCGGATGACACCATCTCGCCCAGGAAAACATTCCTCAACGCCGCCAAACTTCCATGTCAAGGGCGGAAAACATTCATTTCGAATGATTACAAGTGTTCCAGGTGAGATATTGTTGTACGTTTTATTCCATTTTGCCCTTTGCTGGATGGTATGAAGATACTCTTGACTCCACCTCATCCAGAAATGCTGGACCATTTTTTGAAGCAATTCCCAGCGCGACAATCGGTTGGACGGCGTATCCTGGAAATCTGTACAGGGAATTTCAGTATTTAGCGGTGATAATACGAGGAAATGGCCGGGAGTGAGAGCTTGACAGTCATTCGGATCCGAACTGAGAGGACAAAGCGGACGAGAATTGAGGACAGATTCTATTTGGGTAAGTACGGTATAAAATTCTGCGAATGTTAAGATTTGGTTACCCACAACACTTTTTAAATGGGTTTTTACTGATTTAACTCCAGCCTCCGTCAAACCATTAAAATTAAGTGCAGCCGGAGGGTTGAACAGCCACTCAATACCAAGTCGTCCACCCGCCTGTTGTGCAATCTGTAACATTTGATTGTAGGCGCCTACGAAATTAGTTCCCCTGTCGGAAAATATTCTGATACATCTTCCTCGACGTGCCACGAAGCGCCTCAATGCAGCCAAAAATGCATCGGAAGACAAATCAGTCACCAATTCCAAGTGCACCGCCTTTGTGACGGCACAAACGAAGATGCATAGGTAGGATTTAAAGGCTTTGGCTCCTCGATGTTTCCGTACTGTGGTTGTGAAAGGTCCAGCGAAATCAATGCCCACCGTAGTAAATGCCTTCATCTGATTCACTCGAAAAGCTGGCAAATCGGCCATAATTGGTGTATAGGATTTTGGATTGTTTCTAAAGCAATTAATACATCGCGATAATACTTTATAAATTGTGTTTCTGGGCGATAAAATCCAAAATTGGTTGGCAATAATGGCTGATAGTGTACGAAACCCTGGATGTAAATGTTGACGATGCAATTCTTCGACGATCAATTCACTCAATCGATGCTTGCCGGGTAAAAGAATTGGATGTTTAGTGTCGAAGCCGAGTTCCGAGTTCCGAAGACGTCCACCCACTCTTAGCAATTTCTCCCGGCTTATGAAAGGTGCGAGTTTTCTATATTGTTTTGCAGGCAGCTTATTATTTTTTATTTGTTGGTATAGTTCAGAAAAGTACTCCTTTTGGACTTCACGTGCGATTGTGTGTAAAGCCTGTTGCTTT